GACTAAGCGGGCACCCATCCAAGTACTAACCCAACTGAGCGTTGCTTAGCTTGGGTGATCGCCGGAGTCACACACCGCCCGCGTGGCTACTGTCGTCGCTCTATTGCGATATATATTATTCTTAATTAAGAGTAAAGGATTCATTTCGCGTCACGCGGAATTGAGGAAAAATTTTGTCTCCATTTATTTTTTCTGAAATTATTTAGGGATTGAGGAGTTATTGCTGATGTATTTCTATTTTTTTCCTCCCTTCTTAAATGAATTTGATGTGAAACATAATTTCGAATAACTTTGGAAAAAAAATTAAGTTTAGTACAGTTTTGGGAATTTTTGGAAATTTTACTGAGAGTAAAGGAAAATTGTTCGCCGGTGGATGAAACTTCGCGGGAAAATAAATATTAATAAAACTTGAAAATGGAGCGTTTTTTTACGTCAATTCTATCAATAGTTTATCAAAGACTTGTAAAAAAATTGAAAAAGTAGAAAATATCGGCAATAATTGATTAATTCAATAGCGAAATGGTGAACGGTCATAAGGCAATTTTGACTATTGACGAGTTATCAATGAATATCTCAGAATCCAAAGAGGATAGTAAAATTTTCATTATCACCTTTTTTGTGGAGCTAATTGAGTGCTATAATAAATGTTATTACAGAAATTCCGCTATCTTCTTTAGATTTGCAGATATTTCTCAAAATCTCAACTGATAGATAAGTCACCTTATCTCTCTTTACCATTTCACAACTGAATCGTTCCCTCGGTGGTAATAAATTACAGGGAGAAAAATCCTCTTGATAAAGATGCAAAGACGTAAAAATGCAAAAATGCAAAAATGTACAAATGCAAAAATGAAAAAAGGCAAAAATGCAAAAATGCAAAAATACAAAAATGCAAAAATTCAAAGAAGTAATGGATATAGAAAAAATATAAATTTATGGGATCACGAAGGGTTTAACAGAATTAATTGAATATTTTACCGGGATTTATTCTCCGAGTGAATTCAGTATTTCGTCTTCACTTGGCAAAATGTCGAATGTACGAGAAACCAAATACGTTGCAACCAAATTAGGATGGGTTGTACGTTACCTTTAGGGTGGGGACTTCTTCTATTTTTGACCATCGGATACTCTACACTCTACGCAAAATATTCCGGCTAAGCCCCTGTATGACCCACTCGTTCTACCCCTCATCGTATTTCTCTCATTGTTCGATGTTTCTGGTTAAATGGAGAGCTTGCTGAAATTTTAACGCTAAATGGATATCAGACTCGGGATATTATTAGACAGCATTTTGCCAGGGATTTCACGGATGGAGATGAACAATGAAAAGAGGAGTTTTTAAAATGAAAAAAAATCTGACATATACATGATGAGTACGTTGAAGTTTCAGATTTTGTGCCTCGGAAATTCGGAGGGAAATCCAATTCCTCAGTTTGACGTTTGAATTTAAAGAAGTTTACATTTTCGTTAATAACTTTATAATTTATATAATTCACCCATTAATCCATTTTTATCTATTGATATTCAATAATTCATTAATTTTGATTCTTTGTCAATTATTAAATATGAAAAAGTTAATTATTCAATCAACTAAATTACAGATTAATTAAAATTTATGGAATATGTATTGAGTTTTTATTTTTAAAAATAAGGGGAAAATCTAGTTGTATTTTAAATGCTAAACTAAACGGCGACAGTTTAGCAGCTTTTAGATAACAGTCGGAATTATCTATTGGAGTTCTCGGTATTCATGAAAAACCAGTAAATTAAATACTGACATTATTTCCAGGAGAGTTTCCACGATGGCTGACGCTGATGAGGTTCGGTACGTTTTTCAACGCAAATGAAATACCCTTAAAAACTCTATTTGCATTTTATTGAGAATTTTAATGAGTACGTTTTATTTATTTTGATGAAAACCATCTACCTCTGCTGGAAAAATCAATGGCAACATCGCGGTCCACCCAATATTCTCCATTTCATCGAGCAGTATAAATATTTTCCTCAAAGGTATGTTTGTATATGGATTTCCAAATTAATTGGATTTTATTATTTTGTTTATTCCCATTGAAACAATTTTCATAAATTTCCATGAACCCTCCGAATACACATTCGTACTATTCTAGAACCCAATGAATCCCGAAACAAAAACGGCCTGTACATACTCCTGTAGTTGTAGGGAATGCATCAAATGATAATAGACACACGTGTGCACCAAAAAAAAAAACCACTGATGATATGAATCTGGGGTAAGACACAAGCTCGTTGCCGTCGCTGTGTTGTTTAATTGCTCTGATACTTATCCTCTCAAGCATGCAACAGCTTACTCTTAAGTAGATTGTAGATTCCGTTTCCGTAATTGCACTCTCACCATCTTTTTACCAAAAAAAAAACAGAAAAAATATATGACTGAAATATTTCCAGCATAATGCAGTGCAATTTGTTTTTCATTAAACCAAGCTTCTTACGTTAATGCATAACCACGAAGAAATTGAAATTGTTTTGGATGTGGAGAATGCGCTAATCTCCTGAATTTTCTTTTCAGAGAGAGCAAGATGTTGGTGATGTGATGAAAGCTCAGGGTCTCTGGCCGATCGCCTCGGAGAATCAGTTGGATTTCTGGAGATGTTGATGATTAAAAAAAAATGTTAAATCACCGTCTAGTTACGTTTTTGTGGATTGACGATTTACAATCTTCATCAATTCTCTTTTTTCGTCTGAATTGTTCTCAATTCTTCTCAATGTGAGAGATTCATTTTTGATGGCGAGTCTGGGGAGAGAACTGGCTTTTGTCCTACCTTTGGGTGGCGGAAAAAGAGGCCAGGGAGACACTTTAAAAATCCTTTTTAACACTGGAAATGTAGGAAAAGAAGAGGAAACAGGCGGAGACCGAGAGAAAAAGGGCGGAGGTCCGGGCCCGCCTTGAAGAGGCATCCAAGGCTAAAAAAGCCAAGAAGGGGTTCATGACTCCGGATAGAAAGAAGAAACTCAGGGTACGTATTTTACGGATTGTTCTAATCGCCCCAAGGGGTCTTCCGTTGTTAAATATTATGATACAATCATTCCGGATTTTATATATTTTAAAATGATTTCATATGATTTAAATTCAGGCACTGAAACAAAAATTCGGTAAAATGTAGTAAATGTAGTCCCATTTCTTTGGGACTCAAAATCTTTGTGCTTATGCAATTAGATTTGCAACAATGAAAAATATTCTAGAGTAAATATTTGATTAACTTAATATTTTGATAGATTCGCGTCAATCAAATTATAAGAAATAAACATAAACAATTGATGAGCAGCCGCAACGCTTCATTAATTTTAATTCGTTAGTTTAAAAACACTTTTTATTAATTTACTCAATTTTTACGCCAGTGATTTCACTGAGGAACCGCCCCTCGAGGCGCCCAGATAAATAATAACTATGAAATTATGTTTTTCAGTTGTTGCTGCGTAAAAAAGCTGCTGAGGAGCTGAAGAAGGAGCAGGAGAGGAAAGCAGCTGAGAGGAGACGTATCATTGAGGAACGTTGTGGCAAGGCCAAAGACACTGACGACGTCAGCGAAGGTATTTGCAATTATTTCTTTTAAATAAATATTCAATTACTTCATTCCTTTTTCCACTTATTGATCAATTACTCCCAACACCACGAGGTACACCACGAGGTACACCTCAAGGTTCTCAGAAGGGGTTCGATCTTAGTTCATTATTTCTACTTGGGATGCATTTAAATTATGCAACTAAAAATTCAATTGTATTAATACGCAGAAGCCCTGAAACGCATTCTGCGCGAGTACCACAATAAGATCGAAATGTTGGAGGGACAAAAATTCGATATCGAGTATCTCGTTAAGAAAAAGGACTATGAGGTACTTGATTTATTCAGAGAATTATTGCCAGCGTCAGGCTGACATCGCACGTCATCAATTGTTATCAATGTTATCGATGTTGCACGGAAGCTTTGCAACTTGTTCATTTGTTCGTCCAGTGGTCAAGTGGTTGGATGAATTTTCCGTTCGCAAATTATTCAGATTCAATCATCAAATTTATTATAATTACTAATATCAGATGTTTAATTCAATCAAATGGTTAATTATTATGGATTATAATTGCAATTGCAGGGAATTGTTATCAATTGTGGTATTTAACTGGTTTTCGCTTCCGAATGGAAGCTTTGTGATCATTTGTAACAAATCAAGCGTATGTTTTTCTTATGGAGAGGCGCGCTACTCAGAACTCGCGAGTTTACTCGGGAATTTGCACTTTTGAGAAATTTTATCTATAGTGGATCAGGAAAAATCAATTTGTCACTCAGAGGAAAAAATCGACCTTATTTTTTTCTCGTCAACAAAAATCAATTTCATCCATCCATTTTTTTTATTTTCTACTTTTTCGAAAATTTGGTTTTTGATGACGAAAAAACATCCGAATTAATTAAATGATGGCTGAAAAAATTTGTTCTAATGTCCTTTTGACCGAGTTCGAAGATGTAGGTGACAGCAATAGACTTTATTTGAATACCATTAAGGTTGTTGTCGCGTAGAATTTTTTTTCGACAGTTTTTGTTAACAATTTTATAGTGAATAGTTTGAAAAATTAGCAACAAAATGAGCCTTTTCCGTTTGAAATTGACCGTTTTGAACTTGAGATATAAATTTTTGAAATTCGAGTGATTTAACACGTGTTTAAATGGAGTTTTGCCGATTAGAATTTTTTAAAAATCAACGGCTCGACAGTTTCAGAAATAAAAAAAAACGTGGAATATACATCGTGGGAGGAAATACAGAAAAAAAAATCAGATCGATTAACCGTTTGGTTT